GGGGAGAGAGAGGGGAAGGGATAGTCATAGGGGGGAGAGAGAAAGGAAGAGGGAGAGAGGGGGTAGAGGGGAGAAATAAAGGGAGGGAAAGATGGAGAGGGGGAGAGAAAAAGGAGAAGGAGAAAGAGAGAGGGGAGTGAGGGAGGGGAGTTGGGGAGTGTGTGCGTGTGTGTGTGTGTTGTGTGTGTGTGTGTGTGTGTGTATGTGTGTGTGTGTGTGTGTGTGTGTGTGTGTGTGTGTGTGTGTGTGTGTGTGTGTGTGCATGTGTGTGTGAGTGAGGGAATTTGTGTGTGGGTCTATGTGTGTGAGGAATGTGTAGGCAGTTATTTTTTTCCTCTTGCAAACCACCTATTCTCAGAAAATTTGTCAACTGGATTATGTCATCATATGCTATTGCTTTCTGATATTTTTCAATCGTTTTTTTTCCCCTCCTGTTTTTTTTTCAAATTTCCCCCTTCAATTGCGGACCCCCTTAAAAAAACTGACACTCCCTTTCGTCCCCCACGCATTTCCCTTTGCATTCCCGAGTCGTTTTAGTTCCCCCATTGCTGCACCCCCCTTCAGTCTTTTCTCTAGTGATGTCCCGTGCCAGTGGTCGTCTTTTTTATTCCCAGCTATTCGGGGCACAGCTAGGGGTCTGTTAGGCATCTCATAAGTTTGGCTTTTCCTTTTTTCAGTCCTTCATTTTTTTCCTGGAAATGCTTTCATTTTTTCCGGGGCCCCACTTGGTCATGGGGGCCCCTACATCATTATAGCCCTTTGTTCTCTCGTCCCCTCTTTTGCAGATGTACCAGTTGCTGTTCATGCCTGTACTGCTTTGGGGTTTCCGTAGACTGTTTCAGATTTTTTTAGTTCCTTTTTTAAAACTCTGTTTCTTACTTCGTGTTATGGCTTGTAGCTCCCATGTCCCGCATCTTAATCATTTCCTTCTTTTTTTGCTCACATTTCTAGTTTTCCTTCCCCACTTTTTTTCTTTCTCACGAGTTCTCCCACCAATCTTCAATCCCAGGTTTCCCCCCTCCCCGGGTTTTTCCATCCTACTCTTTAGCAACCCTTTTTTTTAGTCACCACAAAAACAAAAACTTGTTGTTTTTTGTGGTCATTTGGATATGTGTTTATGTGTTGTGTACCATGTGTGAGGGGAGGTTTTTGAGGGATGGGGGAGGGAGGAGAGGCAAAAGGAGTGGGAGAGGGAGAAGGGGAAAGAGAGGAGGAGAGGGGGGAAGAATAGGGGGTGCAGGAAAAGGGGGGGAGAGTAAGGAGGGAAAGGAAAAGGGGGGAGAAATTGGGAAAGGAGAGGTGTGTTTGTGTGTGTACTCCCAGTTGGGTTTTCAGGAGAAAATTTCACACCTGGACACACCTAGTTGTGGTTTTCAGGGGTCAGTATAGCCCGGCCCCCCTCTTCAAAATTTGCTACGGTCACTTTTCCCTGCTCCAGCACTCCATCATACCTCTTTTTAAAAGCTATGTAGGGACCTCCCCTCCACTACATCATTCCCCAGACTTTTCCACTTTTGACAACTTGCGACCCTTGTAGTCCCGGCCCCTTGTCCAATTGATTTTTTCTCGTCAAAATTCCTCATCTGCAAAACGGACACTTTGGGTGTTTAAAAACCACCATTCGTTCACAAATACCAGAAACAGCGCCGGCCCCGGGCTGATCCCATGGACTTTTCTCTTTACAGGTCCCACTCTGACACCTCGCCACTACCCGACTCGCTGTCGTCTTTCCCCGACAGGGATTCCCCGATCCATTTTAGTGCCTTTCCTTGTATCCCCGCTGGTCGTCCAGTTTTCTACACTAAAACTCTTGTGTGGGAAATTTTTAAAAGCTTCTTACGTCCCCGAAAATGTAATTTTTTCCCACCTCTCTCTCTCTTGTCTTCTGCGTCACCCCGTCATAGAATCCAGTAGCTTTGTGATGCAGGATCTCCTTTCCCGAAACGTACTTGGGGATCATTAAGCCTTCCCTTTTTAGTGCCCACCACTTTTTTCCCGATAATTTTCTCCATGACCTTTTCATACTAACCGTCAGTACACTGGTCCGTGTTTAATGCTTTATGTCTATCCCTTTTTTTTTTTTAAAGGACACTTTGCTGTCTTCCTTACCCCCAGGTAGTCGCCCTTTTCCATGAAGTGTTGAGATGGGTTGTGGTACATAGCAACCCCTTTCCCTCTAGGACCCCTGGAAGAGGGGGTATCTAGCTCGCCCTTTTAAAGTATTAGTTAGCTTAGCAGCCTCTTCACTTTTCCTCTTTTTTTTTGTATTGTCCCCAAAACCTTTGGGGTACCACAACTTCCCCCCCGCCTTTCTGGAGGCCCTTCTGTCTCCTTTGTGAACACTTATTTGAATCTCACATTGAGCTCCTCGCTTCGAGGTCATTTTTTGTGACCTCCCCTCCTTCCTTCCTCAGCCTGATTACCTGGTCCTTTACTGTTGTTTTCCTCCTGATGTGGCTGTATAACAGCTTTTGGTCAGATTTGGCTTTCGCTGCTATGTCATTCTCGTATTGCCTTTGGGCCTCCCATCTTACCTGTGCATATTCATTTCTGGTTCTACGACTGCTCTAGTTATTCTTCTGGGTCCTTTGCCTTCTATATTTCTTCCATTCCCTAGCACACTTGGTTTTGGCCTCCCTGCACCTTTGGGTAAACCATCGGCTCATCCTGGCTTTTTCTTTATTCCTGTTACCCTTGGGTACAAACCTCTCCTCAGCTTCCTTGCATATTGTTGCCATATATTCCATTATCTCGTTTACTGACTTTCGTGCCAGTTCTCTGTCCCACCGAATTCCTTTCAGTTTGTTCATGTTTGCGTAGTCCCCTTTTTATTGCTTGGCTTCATTTGTCTGGCTCTTCCTGCTTTCCCCTGGACTTGTAACTCTACTATGTATTCGAAGTTTAAAACCACATGATCGCTGGCCCCAAGGGGTCTTTCATATGCGATGTTCTCAATATCTACACTACTCAAGGTGAATACTAGGTCCAGTCTTGCTGATTTATCCTCTCCTTTCTCTATGGTAGTGTCCCTTACGTGTTGGCACATGAGGTTTTCCAGTACCACCTCCATCATCTTAGCCCTCCACGTTTCTTTGCCCGCATGTGGCTCCAAGTTCTCCCAATCGATTTCCTTGTGGTTGAAGTCACCCATGATCAGTAGTTTTGTCTTGCTCACATGAGCTCTTCTGGCCACTGCAGCCAGTGTGTCAACCATCGCTCTATTACTCTCATCATACTCTTGCCTCGGCCTCATGCTGTTTTGTGGTGGGTTATACATTACTGCAATTACCACCTTGGGACCTCCAGACTAAAATGTTAGTACTATGTAATCTCTTGTTTCTCCTCTGTCTTCTCTCTCCAGCTCGTCAAAATACCATTGGTTTTTGATCAGCAGTGCCAGTCCTCCACCCCCTCTGTTTCCTCTGTCTTTCCTCAGGATCTGATATCCTGTTGGAAAGATAGCATCTGTTATCATGCCTGTGAGCTTGGTTTCTGTGAGAGCTATGATGTTCAGTGATGCCGCTGAGTCTTTCGTGCCACTCCTCCCACTTATTTGTTATTCCATCAGTGTTGGTGTACTGTACCTTCAGTTTCCTCTCCAGGGTGAGGGTGGGGGACCTGGCAGTGTACTGCGGGATTCTACAGTGTAGTGTGGGGTGGGAGCTGTGAGTGTGGATTGTGGTCTGCGTTGGGATACCGTGATTGGTTGTGGGGTTCTGGGGATGGTTCTGTGTGTGCTTGCTCTTGTTGATCTGCCTTGCTCTGGTTGTCCTCTGCTGATTCTGTCCTTGTCTCTCCTCCTAGCTCCTTCCGCTTTTGTGTCCTCTCCCTTAGCTACTGTCATTCTGTTTTTGTTCTGTTTTCGTCCAGGAACACCCTCTAGTAAGCTGATGATTCCTTCAACGTGATTTCTCTTGGAGAATCCTGTTTCACATTTTTTTTCTGTCCTGAAAATCAGCTTGATTAGTAATTTTCTCCTCTTCAAGTACCCCCTTATTCTCTAAAAAATTTACAATCTCAGACATTTCCTCTTCACCTATTTCTTTGATGATGCCTGCCATCTTTCAGTGCATGTCCTTCCCTCAATCTCTTGAAGCCCATGAATAAACACTGACTTTGCCCTCTCCTCCACCTTTCTTCCGCCTTTCCCTCTGTGTCTCTGGTTCCTGTCTGTACATAGTCATTTTCTCCCTTACTTTTTCCTGTAGCTTTTGGTGGCATGGTCGTGCCTCTGCATATAGCCTATCCCCCTCACCACCTGCAGCCAGCTGCTCTCCCCGTTCATTTCATGTCCCTGCTTGGTGGGCTGATAGGGCCTTAGCATGAGTTATGTCCCTTTCCTTCCCGTCGGGCCCCTCGTTCAGTAGGAGTTTACCAGCTTCAGATGCTGTGCCTACTCTGGTCAATATCCCTGGAACTCGCTTCGGCCTATTTGCCTCATTTTCTAGAACTCTTATCCTGGCTATTGCAGCTTCGACCTGGGACTCCCATCTTCTTCTCCTCCTTCAACCTTCTTTTCCAATTTCACAGAAAGCTCTTTCTCTATTTTTTTCAGAAAGCTCTCCTAGTTTTCTCTTCCAATCTTGTTCCATCCTTTTGCATTGCTCTTCCATCCATTCTGTCTTACCAGAACCATTCTCCTCTGATCCCTGAAGTCTTCGAGTCCCCCTCTGAGCCACCATTTTTTTTCTAGAAGGAAAGGGGGGTGGAAGGGAGAAAGGAAAAGAGAGGGGAATGGGAGGATGGGGGAGGGAGAGTAAAGGGAGAGGGGAAAGAGTGAGAAAGAAGGGAGAGGTAGAGGGGAGAGAGATGGAGAGAGAGTAGAGAGATAAAAGGGAGAGGGGAAAGAGAGTGAGAGAGTGTATGTGTGTGTGTGGTGTGTGGTGTCATTGTGGAACAATCTCTTTTGTTGACTGTGTCATTTAACACTTTATTTAACATTAATACAGTGGCTTTGACGGTAATGTAACCTGTCAGTTAATACATGCATTTTAACACAGGTACATCCACTTAGTGTTTACCCCGAGTACTGCACCATGATGCGGTTGTTGACTGTCGTAGTGGTGGTGTTGGCTGGGCTGCTGCACCTCGTCACTGCCCATAAGATGGAGGTGGGACGTTGTAAGTCCATGCCAGAGGTTCAGAAGTTTGACCCAGACAAGGTAAGGCGTTCTTAATGTTATCGAAGTTTGATGTACAGTAACATAATGTGTCTGCTTTTTTTTAACTGTTCTGACAAAAGGTCTTCAGACTTGCATGAAAGTGATATAGCAGTGGTGGTACAGTTTTTTGTTTGTCAGCTGAGGAGAGAATATTTCACACATTCTATCCGTTTAGATTTTGATCTCTTGACAGAAGCATTTCCATGGCTCACTAGTCCGTTCATATTTTAACAATATTTTAAGATATCGAGCATATTCTAGGGATTTAATATAGAAATAAATAAGTAAAAGAGTAAGAACTAAAGAAAAATCAATAAATACAGTTGAACTTAGTTATTTATTACAACTTAATCTGAGTTTATAGACGATATGGCCTTAAGGGAGACAAGAAGAGACCTACTGCTAAAACTCCTGGGCTGAAGATAAGTCTGTAGTTGTGTTATAGTTGATGTTTTTGAAACAACACTTCAGTAAGTACTGCTGGTACTTCCTAATGTGTATATAATATATATATATATATATATATATATATAAAAATATATAATATATATATATATATATATATATAATATATATATATAAAATTTTATTTTTTTTTTATCACACTGGCCGATTCCCACCAAGGCAGGGTGGCCCGAAAAAGAAAAACTTTCACCATCATTCACTCCATCACTGTCTTGCCAGAAGGGTGCTTTACACTACAGTTTTTAAACTGCAACATTAACACCCCTCCTTCAGAGGGGCAGGCACTGTACTTCCCATCTCCAGGACTCAAGTCCGCCTGCCGGTTTCCCTGAACCCCTTCATAAATGTTACTTTGCTCACACTCCAACAGCACGTCAAGTATTAAAAACCATTTGTCTCCATCACTCTATCAAACACGCTCGCAGCTTGCTGAAGTCCAAGCCCCTCGCAACAAAACCTCCTTTACCCCCTCCCTCCAACCTTCCTAGCCGACCCCTACCCCGCCTTCCTTCCACTACAGACTGATACACTCTTGAAGTCATTCTGTTTCGCTCCATTCTCTCTACATGTCCGAACCACCTCAACAACCCTTCCTCAGCCCTCTAGACAACAGTTTTGGTATCCTGCACCTCCTCCTAACTTCCAAACTACGAATTCTCTGCATTATATTCACACCACACATTGCCCTCAGACATGACATCTCCACTGCCTCCAGCCTTCTCCTCGCTGCAACATTCATCACCCATGCTTCACACCCATATAAGAAGCGTTGGTAAAACTATACTCTCATACATTCCCCTCTTTGCCTCCAAGGACAAAGTTCTTTGTCTCCACAGACTCCTAAGTGTACCACTCACTCTTTTTTCCCTCATCAATTCTATGATTCACCTCATCTTTCATAGACCCATCCGCTGACACGTCCACTCCCAAATATCTGAATACGTTCACCTCCTCCATACTCTCTCACTCCAATCTGATATTCAATCTTTCATCACCTAACTTTTTGTTATCCTCATAACCTTACTCTTTCCTGTATTCACCTTTAATTTTTTTCTTTTGCACACCCTACCAAATTCATCCACCAATCTCTGCAGCTTCTCTTCAGAATCTCCCAAGAGCACAGTGTCATCAGCAAAGAGCAGCTGTGACAACTCCCACTTTGTGTGTGATTCTTTATCTTTTAACTCCACGCCTCTTGCCAAGACCCTCGCATTTACTTCTCTTACAACCCCATCTATAAATATATTAAACAACCACGGTGACATCAACACATCCTTGTCTAAGGCCTACTTTTACTGGGGAAAAATTTCCCTCTTTCCTACATACTCTAACTTGAGCCTCACTATCCTCGTAAAAACTCTTCACTGCTTTCAGTAACCTACCTCCTACACCATACACTTGCAACATCTGCCACATTGCCCCCCTATTCACCCTGTCATACCCTTTTCCAAATTTCCATAAATCCCAAACAAAAACCTCTCTAGCCTTATCTAAATACTTTTTCACTTATATGTTTCACTGAAAACACCTGGTCCACACCCCCCCTACCTTTCCTAAAGCCTCCTTTTTTCATCTGCTATCCTATTCTCCGTCTTACTCTTAATTCTTTCAATTATAACTCTACCATACACTTTACCAGGTACACTCAACAGACTTATCCCCCTATAATTTTTGCACTCTCTTTTATCCCTTTGCCTTTATACAAAGGAACTATGCATGCTCTCTGCCAATCCCTAGGTCCCTTACCCTCTTCCATACATTTATTAAATAATTGCACCCAACCACTCCAAAACTATATCCCCACCTGCTTTTAACATTTCTATCTTTATCCCATCAATCCCGGCTGCCAAACCCCCTTTCATTTTACCTACTGCCTCACGAATCCCCCACACTCACAACTAGCTCTTCCTCACCCTACAAGATGTTATTCCTCCTTGCCCTATACACGAAATCACAGCTTCCTATCTTCATCAACATTTAACAATTCCTCAAAATATTCCCTCCATCTTCCCAATACCTCTAAACTCTCCTTTTAATAACTCTCCTCTCCTATTTTTAACTGACAAATCCATTTGTTCTCTAGGCTTTCTTAATTTGTTATCATAAATTTTAATATAATATATATATATATATATATATAATATATAAAATATATATTAATATATATAAATATATATATATTATATATATAATATATATATATATATATATAAATATATATATATATATATATATATATATATATATATATAGATATAGATATGTATATAAAAATATATATATATATATATATATATAATATATATATATATATAAATATATAATGTAATTTTATATAATATTATATATATATATATATATGTATATATTATATATATATATATATATATATATATATATATATATTTAAAATATATATATATAATATATATATATATATATATTTATATATATAGCAAAACAACCACTCTGAAAAAAATAGAGAAATTCCAAGCGCTTTCGTGACTACTCACATTATCAAGGAACTATGAAAGTAAAGCACCCAAAGGGAAGCAATATAAGGGGTCTGGCCAACACCTCACTATCAGATCCCACAACGGTTAAACACATAAACGCGCCCCGGCCCAACTGGACAGGTCCTTTGCACAACTCACCAACAAACTATTCTACCCAAAAAAAATTTAAAAAAATTATTTGTCCAGTGTATTATTAAATTTTTCCTAAATTCTGTTAATTATAAATGGATCTAATTTATTAAACCAAAGGAAATATTCATATTATTGTCAAAACTGCTTTTTATGAAACAAGATTCAATTATATTTCTGTCGACCAGGGGACTTGCTTGATACTACTTTCTCAACTTTTTGAAAATCAATTGGATGGTTAAAATCTCTTACATGAATAAACAGAGCATTGGAATCTTGTCCAGTTCTAATCCCTATTTTTATGTTGTTTTAATCTTAGTTCGGATTTTTACCAGTTTGACCGTAAAAAAACTTTATCGCAAATTTTTTACAAGGAATCTTATAGACACATCCATCAGCATTTTGGGGGTAATTCTTTATCATAAGTTTTTTTTCTGTATCAAGATTTTTGAATACAACTTGATACAGTAAAAAAACTTTTGATAAAGAATTCCCCCAAAATGCTGATGGATGTGTCTATAAGATTCCTTGCAAAATTTGCGATAAAGTTTATTATGGTCAAACTGGTAAAAATTTCGAACTAAGATTAAAACAACATAAATATAGCATTAGAACTAGACAAGATTCCAATGCTCTATTTATTCATGTAAGAGATTTTAACCATCCAATTGATTTTCAAAAAGTTGAGAAAGTAGTATCAAGCAAGTCCATGGTCGACAGGAATATAATTGAATCTTGTTTCATAAAAAGCATTTTTGACAATAATATGAATATTTCCTTTGGTTTTATAAATTAGATCCATTTTATAATTAACAGAATTTGGGGAAAAATTTAATAATACACTGGACAAATAATAATTTTTAAATTTTCTTGGGTAGAATAGTTTTTTTTGGTGATTTGTGCAAAGGACCTGTCCAGTTGGGCCGGCGCGCGTCAGGTGTTTAACAGTTGTGGGATCTGATAGTGAGGTTTTGGGCCAGACCCCTTATATAGCTTCCTTGGATGCTTTACTTTCATATTCCCTTTGATAATGTGAGTAGTCACGAAAGCGCTTAGAATTTCTCTAGTCTTTCAGAGTGGTTGTTTTGCATATTCTGAAATCACCTGTTTACTGTGATCTTATTGCATATATATATAATATATATATATATTAAAATATATATATATTTTATATAAAATATATATATATATATAAATATATATATATATATATATATATATATTTTTATATATATATTTTATATATATATATATATATTTTAAAATATATATATAAAATAAAATATAATATATATAAATATATTTTATTTTATATATATATAAATATATATATATATATATATATAATATAAAATATATATAAAATATATAAAAATATATAATTTTATAAATATATTAAGTAATTAATAATGGATAATGTTTTAATATTTTTTCATCATTATATTAACATAATATTAATAAATGTTTTAAAATTAAACTTGTTATTTTTAAACATATTTTTTTAAATAAAAAACAAAATTTTTAATAATTTTCTTATAAATGTTTTACTGATTCTCATACATTTAATTACTGTATTTAATTTGTGAGTTTATAAGCAATAATTTGTACGTCAGTTTGCAGGTGAATGGTATGTGTTGGAGTCAGTGTTAACCAGCAGCTCCTGCGTAAGACTGGTGTTCAACCGTACTCAGGAAGGCTTCACGATGCAACACTCCAGAGAGCTTCTCATAGCTCGTACCGTCGGCTTCAGCCACGTCTTCAGAACCACCGGTACCCTTCAAGTCCTCAATGGCACTGCTAAGATGATCATGAAAATGCCATATAGTAAGTACTGGAGAGGATGGGTTGTTCATAGACTTATTACTGGATTGGCCTGGTTAATCCTGTAGTATGCTGTGTTTGTCATGGAATTGATGGGTTGGTCATGAAGGGAATACTGGAGCAACTTGGTTGTTGATTGGATTGAATAATGAAATGCCTAGGTTGGCCATTGAGTAGCAGGGTTGGTCTTGGGGTTAGTGTGAGATTTACTGAGATGGACATGGTGTGAATACCGAAGTGGACGGGTTGGTCATGACGTGATTACTGGAATGGGTTAATGTTGTGGTGGTTTAGTATATCGTCCATTGAGTTTACCTGGAGAGAGTTCCGGGGGTCAACGCCCCCGCGGCCCGGTCTGTGACCAGGCCTCATCGAGTGACAGGTGTAGAACAATATTTTTTGGCGGTTGCTTCTGGCTTTATTGGAAGAATAATGTAAGTCGCGTAGCCACACATTCTTGATCAACCAAACTGGATATTGAGTGACTACTTGGGTATTTGAAAATACGATTACTAACCTGCTGCTATCCAGTGATTACATTAGAGTACATAACAAGTAAAAATACATAATGCATAACGAGTCTACATACATGATAGTTTGGATCACACTATCGTATGATGATCTCACCATGCATGCATGTAATTAATACAATATGAACAGAGTGGCACACGTGATGGCATCAAGCAATGATTCTATATAAATCAAGGAATGTTGTAAAATAAGAATATATCACACTCTTAAGAAAACATAATGGTTCATGATGAATCATTGAAAAATAAGAGAGTTCGATCGATCGCTGCTCAGGTGGTCTACGGGTTGTGGTGGAAAATTTTGATACAAGGCCTAACTTGGTGTGACTGTCGCAACTGCCAAGTCTGAGAACTCAGAGACGTGATTAATGCACAATATAAAAATTTGATCGACCATAAAGAAATCAACAGTTATATGATGTGACACAGTCAGATATGACACAGTCAAATATGACACAGTCAGATATGATACACAGTCAAGGAGTATGTCACACAGTCGCGTAGAACGACTTGTATCAACTAATCATCTATTTTCTGTAACAAAATTTACAATAATACGGAATAGGAGAAATTTTTTCCTGGGTAGAGGCATGGCTGACAAATAGGCAGCAGAGAGTTTGCATAAATGGGGAGAAATCAGAATGGGGGCACGTCACAAGCGGTGTTCCTCAGGGGTCAGTGTTGGGCCCCTTGTTGTTCACAATTTACATAAACGACATAGATGAGGGAATAAATAGCGACATTAGCAAATTTGCTGATGACACCAAAATAGGCCGTCCAATTCATTCTAATGAGGACACTAGAGCACTCCAGGATGATTTGAATAGACTGATGCAATAGTCGGAGAAGTGGCAGATGCAGTTTAATATTGACAAATGCAAAGTTCTAAATGTTGGACAGGAAAATAACCATGCCACATTTAAACTAAATAATGTAGATTTTAATACAACTGATTGCGAAAAGGATTTAGGAGTTCTGGTTAGCAGTAATCTAAAACCAAGACAACAGTGCATTAGTGTTCGCAATAAAGCTAAAAGAAAATTTTTGGCTTCATATCAAAAGTATAAATAATAGAAGTCCTCAGGTTGTTCTTCAACTCTATATATCCTTGGTTAGGCCTCATTTAGACTATGATGGTCAGTTCTGGTCACCGTATTACAGAATGGATATAAATGCTCTGGATACGACAAAGGGGATGAAAAGTTGATCCCACGTACAAAAACTTCCCTAGAGGATAGACTAGGCCCTGAATCTGCACTCTTTAGAAAGGCGTAGAATTAGGGAGGATATGATCGAGGTGTCTAAATGGAAAATAGGAATAAATAAAGGGGATGTAAATAGCGTGCTGAAAATTTCCAGCCAAGACAGGACTCGCAGCAATGGTTTCAAGTTGGAAAAATTCAGATTCAGGAAGGATATAGGAAAGCACTGGTTTGCTAATACAGTTGTGGATGAGTGGAACAAACTTTCGAGTACAGTTATTGAGGCTAAAACGTTGTTTATTTTAAAAATGGGTTAGATAAATACACAAGTAGGTGCGGGTGGCTGTGAGTTGGACCTGACTAGCTTGTGCTACTAGGTCTGATGCCTTTCTCCTTCCTTAAGTGGAAGTGACCTGACTAGGTGGGTCATTGGGCTGATCTGGGGGAGGGGGGACATGGACTTGCTTCGCATGAGTCAGTGGGCCTGCTGCGGTGTTCCTTCTTTCATATGTTCGTATGGTCTTATGAGTGGGTGTAGGTGGGTGTGAAATGGACTTGACTAGCTACTAGGTCAGACGCAGTGCTAATCCCTTAAGTGACGTGTCTGACCTCACTAGGTCAGGGCACTGGCTTAAGCCGGTGGGGAGAATTGGAGCTGCCTGGCATAGACCAGTAGACCTGTTGCGGTGTTCCTTATTTCTTATGATCTTATGTTCTTATGAGGGCAAATATTCTATTAGTGGGATGGATCTGTGAAGAACCTGCCTAGTATGGGCCAACAGGCCTGCTGCAGTGTTCCTCCTTTCTTATGTTCTTATAATAGTCTGATTTTTTTAAACAATTATAAATATTATTTTATTTAGGCAATATTGCACTATACTGTGACGTAACTCACAATCACTCAAGAACTGCACAATGACACAAAGTTAAAAATGTCAAAATATAGCAAACTAAGGAAGGTGAAGTATTAATTTATATAAAACACTGACATTTACCCTCACCTCTGCTAGGGAAAGATTTACATATGCGGTCTTCATCAAATATAGTGAGGTCAAATTCAGTGGCAATAGCTAACCTAACCTAACCTAACCTAACCTAACCTAACCTAACCTAACCTAACCTAACCTAACCTAACCTAACCTAAGCTAACCTAACCTAACCTAACCTAACCTAACCTAACCTAACCTAACCTAACCTAACCTAACCTAACTTAACCTAACCTAAACCTAACCTAACCTAACCTAACCTAACTAACCTAACCTAACCTAACCTAACCTAACCTAACCTAACCTAACTTAACCTAACCTAACCTAACCTAACCTAACCTAACCTAACCTAACATAACCTAACCTAACCTAACCTAACCTAACCTAACCTAACCTAACCTAACTTAACCTAACCTAACCTAACCTAACCTAACCTAACCTAACCTAACCTAACCTAACTTAACCTAACCTAACCTAACCTAACCTAACCTAACCTAACCTAACCTAACTTAACCTAACCTAACCTAACCTAACCTAACCTAACCTAACCTAACCTAACCTAACTTAACCTAACCTAACCTAACCTAACCTAACCTAACCTAACCTAACCTAACCTAACTTAACCTAACTTAACCTAACCTAACCTAACCTAACCTAACCTAACCTAACCTAACTTAACCTAACCTAACCTAACCTAACCTAACCTAACCTAACCTAACCTAACCTAACTTAACTTAACTTAACTTAACTTAACTTAACTTAACTTAACCTAACCTAACCTAACCTAATAAATGCCCTGACTGAGAGGAATCAACATTAGTTGTACTGGCTGAAACTGCAGGTGCCCTCCTCACCTGCCATGTCCAATAGGACTAGTGAAAGTCGGGATATAAGTCAGCTGGTTAGACGTAGAAGGTGCTGGGTCAGAAGAAAGTTCAAGGTAGAAGGTGCTGGGTCAGAAGAAAGTTCAAGGTAGAAGGTGCTGGGTCAGAAGAAAGTTCAAGGTAGAAGGTACTGGGTCAGAAGAAAGTTCAAGGTAGAAGGTACTGGGTCAGAAGAAAGTTCAAGGTAGAAGGTACTGGGTCAGAAGAAAGTTCAAGGTAGAAGGTACTGGGTCAGAAGAAAGTTCAAGGTAGAAGGTACTGGGTCAGAAGAAAGTTCAAGGTAGAAGGTACTGGGTCAGAAGAAAGTTCAAGGTATAAGGTACTGGGTCAGAAGAAAGTTCAAGGTATAAGGTACTGGGTCAGAAGAAAGTTCAGTGTAGAAGGTACTGGGTCAGAAAAGTTAAAGGTAGAAAGTACTGAATCAGGAGAAAGTTGAAGGTAGAAGGTGCTGGGTCAGAAAAGTTCAAGGTAAGAGGTACTGGGTCAGAAGGAAGTTCAGGGTCTGGCTCACCAGTCTGTTTGCCAGAAATCTCATCAACATTGTCGCAAACTAACTTCATATGATGTAATGTGACTCTTTTTTTTTTTGTACTTACCACTGCTGAATTCTCTAACTTTGTACTTATTACTACTTATGTGCTCAACAAAACGATCAAGTTTTAGCATTACGGACGTTTTAATGAAGTTAATTAATATCACTCTAAAGCCGACTTTATTTTTGGTTGGTTTTGCTCGAGTATTTGTGATTTTAGTCAAATCTTCTTTTGGTTTTCGACGCGTTTCTGTAATTCTTCAAAAATTATCTTAAGCTTCACAAAACACGTTTTTATTGTCATCTTCAACGTACTTAGGTTGTGGACTGGAGAGCTAGTACTCATAGGGTAAACTTTCAGCTCCATACAAGGCATAATGTGGAGTATCTCCTATAGAGACAGTTTATGCTAAATTAATTGCACACTGAGAGTCAGGTATTACTTTATCTAATGTTTCGTTGTTAGAATTAAACATTGTTTGTACAGCACCGAGAACTTCCTTGCTTATCCTTTCAACTAAACCATTACTGGCAGGATGGTGAAGGACCACAGTAGACGATAGTACTGTCATGTACAAAGTACACAACTTTTCAAGGATCTCGCTACAAAACTCATCTCCATTGTCTGTTACAAGGGATTTTGGAGTAGTATGTCTGCAGAGTATGTGTTCATTAAATGCAATTTTATCTGCAATAGGTACTAAATCACAGTATTGTGTGAAATGGTCTACCATCACACACAGATGTTTGTTGCCCTGGAGAAATCATTGAAAATTTGTCAAAAAGTATAGCGATACTTTTTCTTAAGGTTCAGTAATACTAGGATATACCTGAATGGAATTTGGTTCACTAACATTGCCTTTATGTTG